GCGTGCGGGGGTGCCTGGGGGCCCCCGCACCATGGGCCCAGTTTCCCTGCAGAAGTAAACAATGCATCAACTGGATCCTACTGCGTGGTCCCCCCCCCCCCCCAAATGTACGACAAAAAGTGATGACCCTCAGGCTGTTTCGTGAGTGTTCCCTTTTCCCGTGTTTTTTTTTTTGTTCCCGGGTTTGTGCCCCCACCTGTTATGTTTTCGTGAGTTTCCCTTTTCCCTGTTTTTTTTGTGGTTTCCCCTTAGTGCTCACCTGTTATGTTTTTTTTTTGTGAGTGTTCCCTTTTCCCGTATTAAATTTTTTGTTGGCCCTTGAATGTTTTTCACCCTTTTTTTTTTCTTTTTGGGGGGTCTGTTTTTCATTTTTCCCCAGTGTTCTCTTTTCCTATTCCCGAAAAATTTTTCTCTCATGTCCAGATTTTCCCCCCTTTTTTGTAATGTTCTCCTTTTTTTATATTTGTGAGTGGGTTTCCCTTTCCCCTTTTTTTTTATATTTTTTTTCATTCTCAGGGTCTCCCTTTTTTGTTATTCTTGTATTGTCTTCCTTATTTTATGTGAGTGGGTTTTCCCCCTTTTTTTTTCTATTTTTTCCCTAAATTTTTAGAGTTCTCTTTATGGTTCATTCTTAGTACTGTCTCCCTTATATTTTGTTTTCATTTATCGTTAGCGGTGATTATTTAATTTCTTCCTTATTTCATGATTGTCATGATCTACAGTAGACTGTGGAAAAATTGAACACAAATGCAATATTTGTATTTACTTTTCTATCGTGTCGGTCTTTTATACTGTGATGATGTGTGTTTTATACTTTTGTGATGTAAATGGTTTAGAAAACCAACAAGTGGAAGACTGATACACTTGTGCAACATCTGAAAATCTTCAATGTGGAAAGGTTTCTTCTCTGTGTATTGGACTGAAGAAGCCACTGGCTGACGTAACGTTTTCTCAGTAAAGATTCCCAAGTGTTGCACAAGTATCTAATTCTTCATGTCTTTGGTTGTCTATCCTGGTTTGTTATGAGTGCTGGTTTATCCATTAAACATGACAGGAACAGCTTCTAAAGCCTTTAAATTGCGAAAGTCTTGCGGGCAGTTTAGGTCACAAGGAAAATTGTCTCAAAAATAAGAAAATAAAATTGTTAGATTAAATTTTATAATTTCTCTTTACTTATATAACTGGAAGGTACCTTGTTAGAGTGCGCGAACAGATACAATAATTCTGAAATAAAGATACCATAAACAACAACAAAAAAGGCACAATACCGTGACTGGAACGATACACAATAATAGTGAAAATTGAAACAAAGTCTGTGTAGTAATTCATTTACTAGGTCTAGTGTTGATGGTTACTAAATATTTCACAAAATATTTTACTCTAATATTTTAACATAAAAAATCAAGGCATGAACATTTTTCCCCATTTTCTATTTTCTCGTCGTATTGGGAGCTAATAAGTTAAAGAAAGCCATTTTCAAGATTATTAGGCTTGACAGCCTTCAATGAAGATTACCTAAGGTATTAAGACTCTTTAATCCGTTCTTGGCTATGATGTGTAAGGGAGAGAGATCTCCTTTGGTCGCATGTTGTGGTCCGTGTGATGTGCATTATTGTGAAACTGTGCGTGATTCGTTATATGTGGTAGTTTTGTTTGAGTGTGGATTGTGTGTCTTAGTGTTTGGTGATGATACGTTATGGTGAATCATGGTGTGTGGTGTTTAATGGTGTGTTGTAGTGTGTGACTCAGGGTTAGGGAACTGCATCACTAATGTTAGAGACGGGATGTTCAGTAAGTTTAATTTTAACATCCATAGAACTGACTCTGAAAAAAATAAATCAACAGCTATCAGACATACTCTGGGAATCAGACATGAACACCTAAATCCCCACAAGTGCCTAGAGAAGCTGAATACAGAAGCATACAAGGTATGCGTGAAGCACGTACCATTGAGGAAACCCAGAAGAAGATCAGATATAGAAAGAGAGCGTAAGAGATGGTACAAAAAAAAGAAAAAGGGGTTACTGAATTCCTTAAAAACAAGAGATCAATGAATTAAAGCAAAAACTTAGGATGTCATACCTGACAAAAGAAGTCCATAGGGAACAAAGGGCCATACAGGATATTGCAAGAAACCCAAAATATTTCTATTCCTATTCAAAATCCAAGTTAAGAACTACCTGTAGAACTGGGCCATTGTTGAGAGGAGATTCGTATACTGACGATGAACAGGAAATGAGTGAAATCCTAAAAGAACAGTATGAGTCGGTGTTCAGCAGCCCACTACATGACAGCACGGTAGAAAATGCAGAAATATTTTTCACTCCAGCAGAAGACCGCGCAGACCAACTAACTGACAGTACAAATCCCATAGATTTCGAAAAAGAAATGGATAACATGCCCAGTCACTCAGCACTTGGACCAGATTCATGGAATACCCTATTTATAAAGAAGTGCAAAATATCACTAGCACGAGCCCTCAGTATTTTTTGGAGAAAGAGCTTAGATCTAGGTGAATTATGGGAGGCCTTAAAGAGTGCAGACTTAGCTCCTTTGCATACGGGAGGTAGTAGAGCACTAGCTAAAAATTACAGACCAGTAGATCTAACTTCTCTCACAAAAATCTTCGAAAGAGTGATGAGACGGCAGATTACAAAATTCATGGACCAGCACAGCCAGCATAACCCGAACCAGCATGGTTTTAGAGCAGGACGATCATGTCTGTCACCGCTGATGAACCATTATGACAGAATTACGGAGGCGTTGTAAGACGACCAAAACGCAGATGTGATCTACACAGATTTTGCAAAGGCGTTTGACAAATGCGATCATGGAGTGATAGCACACAAAATGAGGGCCATGGGCAATACAGGGAGGGTAGGCAGATGGATTTTCGGGTTCCTAACACACAGAACACAAAAAAGTAGCAATAAAGTTAGAGCAAGATTAGCGAGGTATTAAACTCAGTGACCAAGGCAGTGTCCTGGCACCTCTGCTGTTTCTCATCCTCATAGCAGACATAGATAAAAAACACCCGTAACACTTTTGTATCATTTGCAGACACTAAAATAAGTATGAAAGTCACTACGGTAGAAGACACCGAACAATTACAGGAAGACATAAGCAGGGTTTTCCAGTGGGCAGTGGAGAACATGACGTTCAATGGTGATAAGTTCCAACTGCTTAGGTATGGAAAGAATGAAGAACTCAAAAGCAACACTATATACAAAACTCAAGATGGTCACCAAACAGAACGAAAGGAACACGTAAAAGACTTGGGAATAATTATGTCAGCGGATCTTTCTTTTAAAGACTATAACAAGACAAAGATCACGACAGCCAGGAAGATGACGGGGTGGGTATTGAAAACTTTCAAACCAAGGGAAACAATGCCGATGGTGACACTATTCAAATCGCTAGTGCTCCTTTATTTAGTATATTGCTCAGTGCTGACGGCCACGTTCAAAGCAGGAGAAATATCAGAGCTGGCTCACACTGAGCCAGTAAAACACCTAAACGACTGGGAACGCCTTCAAGTCTTGAACATGTACTCATTGCAGGGGAGAAGAGAAAGATACAATATATACCTGGAAAGTACCCGAGGGCCTGGTCCCCAGTCTGCACACTGCTATAACAACATACTAGAGTGAGAGATATGGGAAGCGCAAAATAAACCCAGTGAGGAGCAGGGGTGCGGTGGGGACAATAAGGGAACACTGTATCAACATCTTTGGTCCCAGACTATTCAACATCTTACCAGAAGATATGAAAAACACGTCTGGAACAAGTACAGAAGCCTTCAAGATGAAAATGGACAAGTATCTTCACCAGGTGCCAAATCACCCAGGCTGTTATATATGGGGCAACGGGCCTTCAGCAGCAACAGCCTGGTTGACCAGGCAAGCATCAGACGAGCATGGCCCATGGCCGGGCTCCGAGAGTAGTGAAACTTTCGAAACTCTTCAAAGATATAATGATGGATCATGTGTGTGGTGATGTGTGCTTTTGTGCGTGTTGTAAGATTTAAGGGACCTGATAGGAGAACCTTATAAATTAGCAAACATTATTAGCAAACAATATTAGCAAACAATATTAGGAGTATCAGCAGAAATGTTAAAATCGAATAACTAATTTATTCGAATAAATAATTTTATTTGCTAAAAAATATTACTTTGATATTAAATCTTCCCAAACACGGAATGACAAATGCAGTTATTTTGTTTCTCTAACAATATTGTGACCCGAACACAAAAATGTAGAATATTTTACACACAATAACAATAAATCTACTTAACTCACCTAAGAAAGATTCGCCTGAGACAGAAGTCAGGATTTTTCCTGCTTAAGTGAACAGTGTCGGGTTACCTTGTTTCTAAATACAGAAAATTTGATTTAAAAAACCTAAAACTTATATAAACTCCTCAAAACGAATGTAAGTTAAATAATTTATGTACACCTAACTATATTTTGGGAAAGGAATACAGCTTTTTTGGGGGGGATTATCCTGGGTAATCTACACATATGCTGCTATGTATAATAATTTATGTAATTTTTTGTGTTCCTATACCTGAATAAACTTACGTTCGTGGTGTAAAGACTCCGTGTGATGTGTTAGATTGGCTGTGTTGGGAATGCACGCCACCGAGGCACAGGAAAAAATGAACTTTCAGTCATACTGCCCAGGACATTAAGTAACTGGCTGTTGTCATAACACAGCAGGAAAATTTACGTGCAACTGATTGTATTTTCCTGTGGAAGATAGGTACAAGATTATGTACGAGGACCCCGATGGAAATAAGTCTCACTGTATGACTTTTTGTGGGTTATCCTAGGTTCTTTACACATATTCTGCTATGTATGATAATCTATGTAACTGTATTTGTGTTAACCCGAATAAACTTACTTACGAAACAGCGTAGAAGTGTGTAATGTTTTGATATGGTGTGTGGTAGTGTGTTATGATGTGTGCAGTAACACAATCTCTACTTCCACAGCCTGCAACAGGACGTACTACGGTCGTGTGGGAGCGACCTACTCTCTACATATCCCCCGGCCTCCTAGAGGCACCCTACCTCACTTCTGCCAACTCACCTTCATCGCTTCAGGAGACGCTTACGGTGACTTGGTTCAGCTCAGTATTGAAAAATTCAATCTGGGCAGGTGAGCTGCTTTATAGTGTTCATTAAAAAAATCCTTGTACAATGTTCTGTGTCCAACTCCTGGAAACAATTAAATGCACTGATTTAGTTATTTTAATAAGAACATTCTGTTATAGAAATAGTGCTTTGCGTGTGGAAAAGTTACCTACGTTTTTGTAAGAGACTGAAGCGTGTCTACAGTATTGTAGATACGGCTGGAAAAGATCCATAAGTTGTTATAGGAGACGAGTGAACAGTTGTCTACAGAATTATTGACAACGATGAAAACTTTACCTACAGTGTTATTGCCAACAATGGAATTGTTGATTGTAGTGTCACAGACAGTTTTATTCCAGCAGTCACTGTCATGCCTCCATCATCACCAGTCAGATGTATGTAATATTAACCCTTTTGTCTTATTTGATCCATTCTCTCTCTGTTTCTCTTTCACACACGCACACACACACGCGCGCGCGCACACACACACACACACACACACACACACACTTGCTAATAATATCTAGCAACATGTCATTAAAATTCCCTCCTAAATCTCGATGCCAATTCTTCAATCATTAGCTGCATTAAGGCTAATTTTCTCCTCATATTCGCCCATCAACTTCCTCTTGCATCGGTGTCGCCTCTCTCTCTCTCTCTTCTGGTTCCCACGGTTTATCTTTTCATCTGTACAAAGTTCGAAATCATCTGCCGACTCTGGCATCTCCTTAATCTGACCCCTTGTTTACTGGCAGCCCTAGTTAGTTTTTTCACAGTATGTGAGTTAGGTACAAGGACACAAGTGCAACTAATGTGACGTTTTATTGTGGCAACGTTTCGCTCTCCAGAAACTTAGTAAAGCCGTTGCATTGTGTGTGTGTGTGTGTGTGTGTGTGTGTGTGTGTGTGTGTGTGTGTGTGTGTGTGTGTGTGTGTGTGTGTGTGTGTGTGAAAAAGAGAGAGAGGGTGTTACAGTTGTCGAAGGCAGTTGTCTGTAGACTGTGTGTACTCGCTTGTGGTTGCAAGGATCGAGTCACATTTCCTAGCCCTGCCTCCTCGCTGCTCGCTACTACGTCTACTCTCTCCTTGCTCCATGATCTTTAACGTATCTCTTCTTAAACAAGCAAAGCACTATTTTCATTACATAATGTTGTGTGTGTGTTTTTGCTGGTAACTGACGTTGATTTTAGCTTGTGTTCCTCGCAGAATCCATGATATAGCTTCGTTCCATCTCATTATTTTTGAGGAATTTAGCTTCCTCAGAGGTTTTTATCCTCTTCCCATGTTGTGTGTATGATGCCCAGTAGCCGCTGGTGTACCTTGTGTTTCTGAATCTCTGGGCTTGTCCCTCTGCCTATTGAGAACACTTCTTTCAACCACGACAGAGATAATCTAGCTCTGACGAGTATTTTCCTTCATTAGTTTTATAACGTGGTCTATCCTGTCAGAGATAATCTAGTTCTCACGAGTATTTTCCTTCATTAGTTTTATAACGTGGTCTATCCTGTCAGAGATAATCTAGCTCTGACGAGTATTTTCCTTCATTAGTTTTATAACGTGGTCTATCCTGTCAGAGATAATCTAGCTCTGACGAGTATTTTCCTTCATTAGTTTTATAACGTGGTCTATCCTGTCAGAGATAATCTAGTTCTCACGAGTATTTTCCTTCATTAGTTTTATAACGTGGTCTATCCTGTCAGAGATAATCTAGCTCTGACGAGTATTTTCCTTCATTAGTTTTATAACGTGGTCTATCCTGTCAGAGATAATCTAGCTCTGACGAGTATTTTCCTTCATTAGTTTTATAACGTGGTCTATCCTGTCAAGAGATAATCTAGCTCTGACGAGTATTTTCCTTCATTAGTTTTATAACGTGGTCTATCCTGTCAGAGATAATCTAGCTCTGACGAGTATTTTCCTTCATTAGTTTTATAACGTGGTCTTTCCTGTCAGCTATCTTCCGTGACTGTGTAGCAGTTTTGGATATCAGTCTATGTCTTTGCCGTTGAAATCTTCCAAGTTTGGATAGTAAGAGTTCTCTCTCCGGGTTCGCTATTACGTTAAATATTACTTTATAGTTATTTTTAGTTTCTTGTCATTACCGTCGGGATTTGGTGGTAGTTTGTGTGTTAGTGTGTGTGTGTGTGTGTGTGTGTGTGTGTGTGTGTGTGTGTGTGTGTGTGTGTGTGTGTCCGTCCCTCTTCCATTCTAAAAAACAATCCAGTGCCTCAGGCTCCTCACATTTCTCTTCTATATTAAAACTGAAGAAGAGAAGAGGAAGAGTGTCTTTGATTCTCTAGTTCAGTTCCTTTCACATTTTTCCATCTCCCCAATTCATCGCAATTTTTGGTTTCCATTTTAGTGTGTCTTCCTCCGTCCCGTCCTAGTTTCGTTATTTCTCTTAAATCTATTTTTTATTTTCATATTATATCTTAAACAGGATTTTTTTTATCAAGTGTTACTAACCACTTCCTCCTTTCTTGTCTGTTGAATTATTAATGCAATCTTCATGAACTTTCTTTCTTATTCATGAATATGATACCGACAAGTAGATAAGACACATGTGCAGCATTTAGGTATCTTTATTCTGAAAAGTTTCGCTTAAACAGGACATTACTTCAGCTGAATACAGAGGCAGCAGATGTAGTGGAGATGTAGAGACGATGTAACCAGTCCATCGGCCTGGAAGTAATTTTGAGGTGTCTGACCATCTAAAAAGTGTATCTTGTGCGTGCCTGATCCCAGTACTTATTCATATCTCCTGTAGCTATTTCTTTTTTGTTATTGCCTTCTGCTTCTCGTATTATGTCACTTCTTCTCTATGCATCTAAGAAACCTTAGAGATGCATAGCACTGCTGCCTGTATCGCTTAGCAGGTATCTCGATCCTCAGCATTAAGCTATTTCCTCTCTCTCTGGGTGTATTCTCAGCTAGTTGTGTATATAGGTGTTTAGAGCAGCTCCTGGAACCAGCTTCATGTATGTAGTTAGCCCTAATTCTCTTCTCAGCACATTTCATTTTCACACTATCTTCCGAGAGAAAGATTTTTTCTGTCTCTTTGGACCATGAACCTCAAGTACTCATTTGTAACCCCTCGTTCTGTGCTTTCCTATGGTAAATCGCCTCCGTCATCATTTTTGATGTCTCAGTATCTTTTATATTCCGATTATGTCTCATCACTTTCTGTGATCTTCGACTAATATGTTGTTTTATTTCATTTAACTTAACTTCATATCTTCATATCTCTTGCGAGGATAAAGTCAAAATTTATTTGGCAGTTATTTTGCATATATTTTTTATATCCTATTTATTCACCTGTGTGTTTTGCATTTCTCTAACGTTCTTCTATCATGTCAGATAAAATCACGCAAAAGTTGCCTCATTATTACTCAACCACTTGTTATTGGTTGTGAAGTGCTCTTAGTACAAGAAATTAAAGCTTCCCTTCCCTTGGATCAAATAGGATTACTATTCCCTCATGGGTTTAGCACTTATAATAATAATAATAATAAGCTTGAATTATTATTTTTTGTTACAACAAAAATCATAAAAATAATAAAACAATTAAATTGTTATTTCTGTCTTCAGGTTCGTCTCACACACCACATCCGGCTGTCCTGACGGGTACATGCAGATAGAAGAGCTGAGCCGCCCCCTCAACTCCGGCTATTGGTGTGGCACGTCCTGGGGCCACAATGTCTTCTATTCCGAGACATCTGCTATCACCGTCATGCTCAGAGTTTTCAACCTGAGTGATGATGACGGAAATCTCAATCCAGGAGCATTCTCTCCGCAGGATACCGTCCTGCTCGGTGTCTCTTACAAGTTCTTGAGGAAGGAGAGAGCAATACTACGTTACGGCGCGCCGTACAGTCCCAGTTATCGAGGGGAGGATGTATCCAACTCTTTTTGTGACAAGACATTCGAAAACTGTGACAAGAAAAATTGCAAAGTTCAGTCACCAAACTTCCCAGGGATGTATCCAAGAAACTTAACTTGCCACTACCACATCAGGCAGACTAGAGTGCCGGATGGAAAAATAGCGCTGATCCGCGTACGTCAACGTAATCCACATCTTATTTACATTAAAGATCGCAATGCCCCACATCTGGTAAGAGACAGAAAGCTTCAAGTGGGGCCCAACTGCTATGTGCTTCATGACTATCTAGTAGCCTATGACGGCAACAATACGTATTCACCTGTTTTGGCCACTATATGTAAGGGCGGAGCTCCTCTCACTGGAATAACTTCCAGTGGTCCTGAGCTTCTCCTTCTCTTTCATGCATCACCCTTTGACTTTCCTTTCCAGGATTCTCCTCGTCGTCGAACATTCGGCTTCGAATTAGACGTTGAGGTAGAGTTTGTCGATCGAGAGTCAACAGCCTATATCCGCGATGGATCAACTTGCGATTACATGGTGAGCAGTCGTGGCCAGCGCAGTGGGTACATACAGTCGCCAGTACACTCACTGTTACCAAACACTACCTGCACATGGCGCCTCCTGGCCGGGAGTACTGAGGTGGTGTGGCTCTACTTCCTACACTATCGCCATGTCTTACACCCAGAGATGCCGGTGCCAGCCAAGTGTAGCAACACACTAACTATAACTGATGGAGACGCTCAAACTGCGACTGCTGAGTCCAATGTTATTACAGTTGACACAACTATCAACAGCACCATGAATGATACAGAGGAAAACATCACAGCTACGACAGTAATAGGTCAATTCTGTCGTCCAGATCGGCTTCCAAGAGTATGTAGTGGAGTCCACGCACCAGGGCCCCATGCAGCACCTTGTTTGCTAGGAGAAAGCTACGTATCCAATTCGCCATCACTGACTCTCTCCCTGCGATACGCAGCAGGCACAGCTCCTGCACATATCGAGTTTCTTGCACGTTATGAGTTTGTTGATAAACGTCAGTGGGGAGTCGAAACCCCCGGAGGAGGTCCGTGCGACAGAACATTCACAATGCAACCAGATCGTCTGTTTGCTTCTCCACGAGACGTCTTCCTGTTTGGACGTGGTGGTGCCCGGAAGCTTCGCTGTGTCTATACATTCCAGGCTGAACCCACCGAGCGAATAGTTCTTCGGATCCTAAGATCTCGAATGGGTTCCAGTTGTGGCACATTATACAAGCATTCTTCCAGGCGATACGAATGTTCTCACAGTGGGGCTGATGACAAGCCAGCTATCTGGATCAAAGAGGAACCTTGGGAAGGAGTGCTACTCATGCGTGCTTGCATCTGTAATATTTCCCATGAGAAACCTTTCGTTCTTATCTCATATACGAATGAGATACACATTATCTTCAGCATCCCAGTCATGACGCCGTCAAGCGATTACAACGATTATTTTCTGGAAGGAGAGTTTTCCATGATTGATGCTAGCATGGGACTAACTAAGAAGAGTTGTGAGCAGGGCGCTCGACGTCTAGCAGGGCGTCACGGAAATTTTACTGTTGGTATTACTCAGGAAAACCACTGTCCGGCTCTCCCACGTCTTGTCACAGCTGCTGATGGTTCTTTCCTTTTCCTGCGCGTGCGTGGCTTTAGTGCCTCAGAGACTAACTGTGATGTTTCTGCAAGAATAAATATTTATGCAGTTGGTGGCTTATCACCGATTGCCTCTATTTGTCCTGGTAAACAAAGTGATTATACACACGTTTTTAGTAGTGGCTGGCACGGTCCTAATCAGACGATGAAAGACGAACTGGCTGCCACTGACCTCTGGAATACATCAGGTAGTATGAACATTGGCCAGAGCAACTACTTATATCATCAGCAACAACTAGAGTATCAAAAGCGAGGGCGTCACCATCAGCGAAAACAACAAGTGTCACGAGACCTCGTAGTGGAGTATGTAGGGAACTCCAGCGAGAGGGCAACCATCACATGGGTAGGTGTATGGAAACCGATGCAGACGGCGCCTCTCTCTCCTGTAGGAGTAGATCTCTGTCCTCACAGATGTCCTGAGATCCAAGCTTGCCTTCCAGCTGATCTCTGGTGTGACGGGACTGTCAACTGTCCTTCAGGTCTTGACGAGGGAGCAGGAGCTTGTGGTCTATTAGCCGCTCTTCCGTGGGTGTACCTCGCTGCAGCCATGGTTCTCTTCATATCACTGGTGGCGCTTCTGGTGGCTGTGGTAATGCATCGTCGGCGCATTCAAGCACAGAAGGATGCCGATTCATCTATGGTAGCCAACAACAGCCACGGCCTGAAAAGCACCACGCAGGACTTTCTCATCCCGCCGGACAAGGACTCGTGGTGACAAGAGGCCCATTCTGGCGACGTGGTGCGTGTTGACTACGAGACCACAGTGTAGATTAACAGGTCTAGTGCCCTAGTGCTTGCCTCTAGTGTCACCAGCCGTCGTTAGGATGGGGAGCTATTATGAAGCAATTACTTGTATATACACAATTTTCAGTACGGCAGCCGGTGGTCTGATTCAAAGACATCAGTTATTGCTGAAATAGGGAGCAAAAAAAAAAAAAAAAAAAAGAAAAGAAAAATAAATATCTGTATATAAACCATTTTTAATACTGTACATATGTACACAACCGTTGAAGTTTTCTACACATGTAAACTAATTGTTATATATCAGAGAATGGTACCTCGTGTAGTAGTAACTATGTGTGAGTGACATCCTAGTTCAACAAAACAATGATTTTACCAAGTTCCATTATTAGATCATTTAGAAAAGATTTATATTTTTCTGGAGATAATCTGTTCATACATATTGTATAGTTCTTGTGTGTAGGACTTATGCTGAAGTAAACTATTAAATTTTACTTGAACTCACTAACAATGTTATATATATATATATATATATATATATATATATATATATATATATATATATATATATATATATATATATATATATATATTATATATCTGGCAAAAATGCAAATTTAGAAAATTACAGGAATATCTGAACGGTTTTATGTTATTTAAAAGTATGAACAAAGAGTCACTATGCTAAAAGATCATGTAATTTTTCGAAGTAACTCTCCTCAATGCACAGAGGAATAATTCCATTTACTTACTACAGTGAAATTTATCAAAGAAACGAGCAAGTTTATTCTGGTAAATCTCCATGACTTTCATTATATGGCTGCATTATATGCCTCATATATTAGGTGTTTCAAGGAAGAATATTTACGAGCATTTTCGTCTCAAAATTATCCATGTACAAATCCCTTAATATAGGAGAAAGAGTATTTCCCATAGCCATGCCAAATTTCTATATATAAAATTTATTTTGGAACGTTTATCTACAATGATATACATTCCTTTGAGGATATGTGAAAAAAAAACGAATGCGCTCTGGTATTCCTGTTTATTTTTCAGTTATATATATATATATATATATATATATATATATATATATATATATATATATATATATATATATATATATATATATATATATATATATATATATGTCGTGCTGAATAGGTAAAGCTGGTCAATTAGCAAGAATTAATTTAAAATTAAGTCATTTCTAAAATTTTCTCTTATACGTTTAAAGATGCAATTTTTCATTTGTGTTAATGTAAAAATTAATAATTTTGTAAGAAAAGAATCTTAGAAAACTTACCTAACTTTATTATAAGAAGCGCAATTTAATTTAGCCTAATCCAATAATAAACACACTGAAATATAATTTTTTCGTTAGGTTCAGAATGATTTTCGCGAAATTACTGCATACACAAATTTTCGTTTACCTTATTCGGCAAGAAGAGTATTGCTATTTAAACTAAAATAGCAAGTTTTACCTATTCGGGGCGACATATTATATATACATATATATATATTATATATATATAATATATATATATATATATATATATATATATATATATATATGTTTGTTTGAATAGTAATTATGTTTTCTCTGAGTAAGCTATAGAAAAATTATATAGTTTTAGCGTATATTTAGGGCTCATAACTTTGATGTAATCTTAATAAACGATTGGTAGTGTTCTGCGCGCGCGCGCGCGCGTGTGTGTGTGTGTGTGTGTGTGTGTGTGTGTGTGTGTGTGTGTGTGTACTTATTTTTGTGTGAAAGCGTGCTTGTGAATGTGTGCTTGTGCGTGTGTGTGTTCTAATTAATACTCACCTGTTTGTGGTGGAAGGAGTCGAGGCTCAGCTGCTGAATGTGTGTGTGTGTGTGTGTGTGTGTGTGTGTGTGTGTGTGTGGTGTGTGTGTGTCTGTTATGTTCAAGTGGTAAACAGGTAATAGTGAACTGTTACATATGTTTTCTAATAAAGAATTACTTGGTTCAAGCTTCTCCTTCAACCTATGCTATCCGAAGATACACATACGGATGGACAAGTCATGTCTGTTCTCACTCACAGACGTGTGTAGCTGAATAACTTGTTTCTCAGTACACTTCACGACAACATCTGGTACAAACTATTACTGTTTTGGGGTGCAAAGTATTCTAAATTATTCTTTCTCACCTAACATGCGAAGGAAGTGCACAAAACCTTAATAAAATACTTGATATTTAGTTATAATTCATGTGTTACGTTAAAATTCAGGGGTAACCTGTTTAGATCCTGGTATAAATCTTGTGCGAGGCGATGTGTATGAGGAAGATTCTTGACACTTGCTACTCCTATTCACCTAGTATTAATGCAATGATCGGGGACAAGCTATACCAGATGCAAAACAACCACAGGGATAGTTGAATGATAGCTCTAGGCTTGTCGTATTGCAGCCGGCACTTCTTCAGGAGCTTGTAATGCTGCACAAGGAATAGATAATCCGACAGGTGCGTCCATGGACGCGTCTGCTACCGGAAAGAAGGCATAATGAAGAATCAGGAGGCACTTGTCACTCTAGTGATTTCTGGCACCTGGCACTAGACTACCAATTGCCTCCTGCCGCTCCATTAAGTATTCTCTCCGTAACATTCAAGCTCCGAAGAAGTGTTGGCTGCAACACGAAAGGCACAGAGCTATCATTCAACTCCCCCTATGGTGTTTTGCATCTAGTAGTAAATATGCAACTAGGAAGTGGCTAACTGCTGTGAGTCGCATCATAGGAGAGAGAATCGAAGATTGCAATGGAATTAAGTCACACTCCAAGACTTTCTTGGGTTATTCTGGGTTATTAACTCACAGAATCTAACATTCTTTCCCGTGCACTAATCAAAGTATTACCATTTACAATTCAAAGTAACTTCTTACGTAGAGGGAGAGATTATCAAACGCTCAAAAGTCTTGAATCAACATTTGCTTCACTTAATTTACCGCAGAACAAAAATATCATCCACACTCAACTGCACGCTATATACACTTTTTAATTTTCACACATGTTGACTTGGACTCTCAGTACGGTAAATGATTGCTTGAAAGTGAAATTATCTGGAATTTGGATATTCATGGAAGTCTTAATTACAGGAAGAGCTTATCATTATCCTCAGTACCTATAATAAATACAAGACTTTATTACCAGCATTTATAATAAATAGTCTTAATTACATAGGGAGCTTATAATTATCCCCATCATCTATAACACAAGACTTTATTACCAGCATGTAAAATAAATTCTTAATTACACGAAAAGCTTATTATTATTCCCAGTAACTATAATAAACAAAGCTTTATTACTAGCAGGTATAACAGATTCCTAATTACATGAAAAGTTCATCATTGTTCCCAACATCCGTAGTAAACACAAAACATTAATACCAGCATGTATAATAGTCACAAAACAGTGTTATCATCTACAATAAATTATTTTGGCTACAATACAATATCACCTGTAGAGACTACTGATAGCACCAGCATGTATAATAAACAAATTGTCATTACATGTAAAAAAAACTCATTACAGTGCTACTAGCATGTATAATTCAGTGTCAGAAGCTTGCATAATAAACTATTACTGTCTCGCCAACCTTTTTAATACAGGAAGATAGTATCACTTGTATGAAAGAATCTAACACAGTGCGAGTAGAATGTATAAAAAACTCAGTACAGTGTCACTTTGATATATAATGAACAACACTAGTGTCACCAGGTTGTATAGTGAACACCATGAACAATACTAGTGTCACCAGGTTGTATAATGAACACCATGAACAATACTAGTGTCACCAGGCTGTATAATGAACACCTTGAACAATACTAGTGTCACCAGGTTGTATAATGAACACCATGAACAACACTAGTGTCACCAGGTTGTATAATGAACACCATGAACGATACTAGTGTCACCAGGCTGTATAATGAACACCATGAACAATACTAGTGCCACCAGGTTGTATAATGAACACCATGAACAATACTAGTGTCACCAGCTTGTATAATGTACAATATGAACAACGGTGTCACCAGCTTGTGAAATAAACACTATTGACAACACCTACAAACCAATCAGTGAGACTTAAAATGAATATCGGTGGTGGGATAACATCAAAGTCATGGACACCACCGATGTCGACAACTGTTAGCAAAACCTAAACAAAAGAAAAAAAAATTCTGGAATAATATTTTGTAACTTGGGTTGCATCAAAATAATTTATCGTATTCTTTATTTATATAGGGACTGAAGGATGCTTACAGTACAAATGCAGTCCAAGAAATTATTTCATTGACAGTATCTGGAGTAGGAGAATAAGACGCATGTGGACCACTTGAGTATCTGTAATTTGAAGACGTTTCGCCAACAAGTGATTTTATTAAATCAATACAGGGGTTATTTGAAGTTGTGGAAACTGGAGACAGTAGAAGACGAGAAGGTAATCAGTCCCTTAGTCAAGATGAAGGTAATCACTACCCTACCCATGGAGGTTGTCCTCTTCCTACCTGGAGTCAACCTGCAGGATGTGTTAAGGTCAACACCTCCGCGGCCCGATTCTTGACCAGACCTCCAGGTGGATCAGGGCCTGATCAACCAGGGTGTTACTGTTGGCCACACGCCATCCAACGTACGAACCACAACCCAGTTGATCGGGCTATCAAAACAAGTTCTCCCAAGATAAAATAAGTAAATCACTTTGGGATGATGTCCTGACAAACTAAAAAGTTTCTTGATATATTAGGCTCAGTTCTCCTTTACATACAGTAATTGCATGAAAAGTTCATGTAATTACTGTATAAAATTTGGCTTCAATCTAACATGTATAGAGTTTACAGATACAAGTAATTTACATACTTTATTTACAGTGCACAGTGAAAATATTTCTTTCATACTTCTACGCAATTCACCAACAACAAGGTAAACAAAGTCTGTTTACCTTCGTGTTTTTCAGAGCCTTAAGAATACAGCCCGAAATGCTATGCATAGTATAAGTGGCTTTGGCATGCTGCTCTTATCTGTATTTTTTTTGTACCTCTGTATGTATGCTCAAATTGTAAATAAATAAATAAATAAATAGCCTTGAGTTTCCGATGGAGATGTTGATAAACTCTACAGGCCTGCACGTAACTTAAAATATGTACCTACGTCAGTTGACGGAACATAATCTGATACAGACAATAGACTTGAGAATGTGCCGGTACGTATTATCATGCAATGGATATCTCACATACAAGCTCTTAAGTATTTTGCTGCAAAAGTTGTTTCTAGAAAAATAATACTGTCAAAAAAATTATCAGCAATTATGAGCAGTGTTTATTTTCTTCTTTGCTAAAGTTGTGAAAGTTCCTACATAGTACAGACTGGGGAAAGCTCCTGAGAATAAACTTTAATATCATTAATGTGCTATAACTACTAGACATAAAGCTAGTGCTCTTTTTTTTCGTATTAGGAAGATAGGCTATTGTCTAAACTCTAAA